TTTTTTTTAATTTCTAGGAGAGAGAGAGAGACAGCGTGAGCAGGGGAGGGTCAGAGAGAGAGGGAGTCACAGACTGAAAGAGGCTCCAGGCTCTGAGCTGGCAGTCATCACAGAGCCCGACGCGGGGCTCGAACCCACAAACCGCGAGATCATGACCTGGGCGAAAGTCGGACGCTTAACCGACTAAGCCACCTGGGCGCCCCTATTTTTTTCAAGATTTTAAAAAAATGTTTATTTTATTTTTGAGAGAGAGAGACAGAGACAGCGAGCAAGCACAGGAAGAGCAGAAAGAGAGGGAGACACAGAATCTGAAGGGGGCTTCAGGCTCTGCGCTGTCAGCACAGAGCCCGAAGTGGAAGTTGAATTCATGAGCTGTGGGATCATGACCTGAGCTGAAGTCAAGACGCTCAACCCACTGAGTCACCCAGAGACCCCTGTTTTATTTGTTTATTTTGAGAGAGAGAGTAAGATCAGGGAAAGAGCAGAGAGAGAGGGAGAGAGAGAATCCCAAGCAGATTCTGCACTGTCAGCACAGAGCCTGATGTGGGTCTTGATGTCATAAACTGTGAGATCATGACCTGAGCCGAAATCAGGAGTTAGGTGCTTAACTGGCAGGAGCCCTTCTACTCATATGTGTATTTAATGGGTTCTACATCCTGTGCTGGAGCTTACTGAAATGGGGGGTTTTAGATTATCCCATCTGTTGTATGCTTAGTTTGCTTTAAGAAAATTTAAATACGGATGTAAATGAACCTACCTCTAGAGTGTCTAGGTATTTGTAAATAAACATATTTGGTTGTTTTGGGGGAGGGGGGGCACGTGACCTTGAAATTTGCTTTTGCAACATGGTATTAAAGCTACTCCTTTCTACTTAACCTTTGTAGAAGAGCCGTGTGGTGTTTTGCTGGTTAAGCTGGCAGGAGTAGAACTCACTGAAACCGGAAAGGTGTGGTTACAAAAAGAATTAAAACCTTCCCAACTGCTGTGGTTTCAACTTCTTGCAAAGGAGAATTCAGCACTTACTTGCTATCTTCTAGTGAATAAGGTAACTCATGTGAAAAGATAATGAGCAATATTTTATTCTTTTTATTTATACATAAACATCATTAACTAGAACCTTGAATGTATAATGGAACTGAATTTTTGTCTTTCTTAATTGGTACTCATAGTGATTATATAGAGAGAGAACTGGGTGTTTCATATATAAATTTTGTTATAAAATGTTATTTATATGTTTATTATAGAAAAATAGAAAATTAAGAAAGTGGAAAAAACTTAAAGTCATTCACGACTTCAGATGTTGACAGTTTAAGGAGTAACTTTACACATTTATTTCTGCATGGGTATATTATATCCCCCTTGTTATTAGAAACCGCTTGTTGAGTGAGTTTCTGATCAACTGGAAACTACAAAGAGCAAGTGTGTTTTCTGAAGGTAAAGACTGTTCAGTCTTTGGACTCTCTAAAGTTGGGCGCACTTAAATGCTGTTGATGATCAGTAATCAGTTGTCTGAAGACTTTGCACCAGTTTTCTTACCTTTACAATCGGCCACGGCCGCTATGAAACGGGGACGCCACGGAGCTTCATCAGTGTTGCTGTGCCACTGTCCTGAGCCTGCGCCTTGCTCCACAGGGCTCTTGGTGGACGGGTACTGAAAAAGGAAAGTGGAAAATTAAGGATTAAGAACGGTTTTCTTATTTTTAAAATAAAGTCTCTTATTTTATAACAAACACAAACAAATCTGAAGAAAAAAAACCTCACATTAAAGCGATTAAAATTGTAACCATTTTAATTCTTTAGAGCTTTTTGAACTATTAATAGATAGCCTAATGAAACCCATTAATTTCTGCATGTCCAAGTCATAGTCAGTTCTTTCTAAAAAGGAATTATCAAGGGGCGCCTGGGTGGCTCAGTCGGTTAAGCTTCCGACTTCGGCTCAGGTCATGATCTCATGGTTTGTGGGTTTGAGCCCCACATCAGGCTCTGTGCTGGATGCCCGCTTCAGATTCTGTGTCTCCCTCTCTCTCTGCCTTTACCCTGCTCATGCTCTGTCTGTGTCTCAAAAATAAATAAACATTAAAGAAAAAAATTTTTTTAAAAAGGAATTTCCCAGCACTGATTGGGTGAATCATCTTACATTTAAAAGTAAGCTGGGGGGGGCGGGGTGTGCCTAGCTGGTTCAGGCAGTGGGGCATGTGATTCTTGACCTCAAGATTGTCGTGTAGAGATTACTAAAAAATAAAATCTTAAAAAAGTAAGCTGCTAATACAAAATATATAAAGATGCCAAAGGCCTTACAAAAAAAATATTATCTTCTCAGGACACCTGGCTGGCTCAGTCTGTGGGGCATGTAACTCTTTATTTTGGGGTCGTGAATTCAAGTGCTATGTTGGATACAGAGATTACTTTTTTAAAAAGTCTTAAAAAAAAATAAGAAGAGGGGCATCTGGATGTCTCAGTTGGTTAAGTGTCCAACTTTGGCTCAGGGATCTCACAGTTCATGAGTTTGAGCCCCACATCAGGCTCTGTGCTGACAGCTGAGAGCCTGGAGTCTGCTTTGGTTTGGTGTCTCATTCTCTCTCTGCTCCTCCCCCGCTTGTGCTCTGTGTCTGTCTTCCAAAAATAAATAAATGTAAAAAAATTAAAAATTAAAAAAAAAATAAAAAGAAACAGTATCTTCTCTTTTAAGTTGAGGAGTGTATTTTATTTATCCTCAAAACCATTGTTTTGGAGTCAATATTTTTATTCCCATTTACAGCTGGGCCTCAGGGTAACCAAGTGAAAGAGCCTGTATTCAAGCCCATGTCTTTTTTATTTATTTATTTATTTTTTATTTTTTTAAAAATGTTTTATTTATTTCTAGGAGAGAGAGAGAGAGAGAGACAGCGTGAGCAGGGGAGGGTCAGAGAGAGAGGGAGTCACAGACTCTGAAACAGGCTCCAGGCTCTGAGCTGGCAGTCAGCACAGAGCCCGACGCGGGGCTTGAACCCACGAACCGCGAGATCATGACCTAAGCGAAAGTCAGACGCTTAACCGACTAAGCCACCCAGGCGCCCCCAAGCTCATTTCTTTATGGCTCCTAAGCTTATACTTCGTCTTATATACTTTAGCTTCTATTCCTTCCTAGGTGACCAAACTCTGCAGTATGCATATTGTGGTAATTTACATCTGTTGAATTTTACTAATGTGTGAGATTGAGTTTTAGTTCTCATTTTGGTTTAGGGAATGAGCTCTTAACATTTAAAATATTGAGGGGTGCCTAGGAGACTCATTCAGGTAAATGTGATTTTGGCTCAGGTTATGATCTTACAGTTCCTGAGATCAAGCCCTGAGTCAAGCTCAGTAGTCAAAGCTTGGAGCCTGCTGGGGATTCTTTCTCTCCCTCTCTCTCTGTCTGCCTCTCCTCTGCTTGTGCACAAGTGCTGGTGCTTGCTCACTCTCAAAATTAATAAACATTTAAAAAATTTAAAAGATTGAGGGGCGCCTGGGTGGCTTAGTCGGTTAAGCGTCCGACTTTCGCTTAGGTCATTATCTCGCGGTTCGTGGGTTCGAGCCCCGCGTCGGGCTCTGTGCTGGCTGCCAGCTCAGAGCCTGGAGCCTGTTTCAGAGTCTGTGTCTCCCTCTCCCTCTGACCCTCCCCTACTCATGCTGTCTCTCTCCTAGAAATAAATAAAACATTAAAAAAAATTTAAAAAAAAAAAAATTTAAAAGATTGAGAAAATTATGGTAAATCCTTTAAAACTGTGTTTATGAACTCCATATTTTTTTAATGTTTATTTTTGAGTGTGGAAATTGGGGAGGGGCAGGGATAGAGGGGGCAGAGGATCCAAAGTGGACTCTGCGCTCACAGCAGAGAGCCTGGTGGGGGACTCAAACTCATGAACCATGAGATCATGACCTAGGCCAAAGTCAGATGCTCAACCGACTGAGTCACCTGGGCGCCCCATGAACTCCCATGAATACCCATGAATTTTGGTATTCATGACCCAAAATTATTGATTTAAGGGAAAAAAGGTTACTTTGTTCCTTTAGATAGTCCTAGAAATGCCTCCTGCTTTAAACCTGGGTTTTCACAGTTTTAGAATTTAGCTGTGAAGTACTTGTCTAACAAAGCTATTCATTTATTAAAATTTTGTTAAAATGGATCTTGTTAGGTTAAAATTTCACAAGGACTATATAAATAGCTAAACAGGATCTCTTTTTTAAAAAGATTTTTAAAATTTTTAAGTAGTTTCTACATCCAGTGTGGGCCTTGAACCTACAACCCGAGATCAACAGTCTCTCTGCCGCCTGCACCAGCCAGGCACCCCAACAGGATCTCCTTTATACTGTAAATTAAGGGGAAGAAATCCCCTTATCCAGTTTCTTTAGGAAGTGAGGTTTTCCATGAAGGAAATTTCCTTATGGATGAAAATTCAAGGTTTAGGACTATTTTAAATGTTAATGATTTTGTGGGAAGTCTTTTAAAATTACATTTACATGACAGTGCCTTCCTGCACACCGGAATTCTGAATCTAATCTTACAGTTCAGTGATAATTCAGTTCATTTTGCATTTTATACTTTTTAGTTCCTTTTTCTGTGACCTTCTGATGCTTCGCCTTTTTTTTTTTTTTGCGTGCTTCTTTCCTCCTCTAAACAACAAACAGACTAAAATGTTTTTTATACTTTATTACTTCTACCCTTCTTTGGGTTAGATGAACAAGGAGTCTGTGAAGAACTATTATGTTATAAAAGAGGCAATTGACTTTGGCAATGACCTCTTTTAGTAATGAAACTCTTGGATTTAGCATTAGCTGTTTTAAGCTCTTGGGGACCCTTTTGCTTCATGTTTTTTGGCTTTTCTCTGGAAGAAAAGTTGCTGAACGGCTGCTTTTAAGTAAATAAATAAATTTTAAAGGAAATAAGATATATGGCTATACTACCAATTTCCTAAGTAATTGGTTTGTGTTATTTTTTTTATTCAAGGGTAGATATTTTAGTGTGAGTCTGAATGAAGAAATTTTGAGAAGAGGCCTTGGCAAAACTGTTCTTGTTAAAGGGCTAGATTATGATTCTAAAATCTATTGGACAATTCACAGAAACTTACTTAAAGCTGAATTAACAGCCTTAAAAAAAGGCGAAGGAATATGGAAGGAAGAATATGAAAAAGAAAGTTATTTGGAAAAATTCAAAGGCTCCTGGAGAGAAATATGGAAAAAAGACAGTTATTTTAAAAAAATTGGATCAGATTTCAATTTGAGAAAAGAAAGTTATTATGACAAATTTAGAAGGACTTATGAAACATGGAAAGACAACATAAATAACTACTCCTTAATACTGAAGTTCAGAGAACTTATGAATCGCATATATTTTCGTAGAAAAGGGTGAAATATTCTAAGAGATCTGGAGGTGACCTACTCAGAAAAGAGTAAACTATGTAAATATATGGATGATTTTCATTGAGTTGAAATGGAAATTCCTCCAAATGATCAAAGTTGCATTCTAATGGTATTTAAATATTTAAGAGATGATTATTTTAAATGTCATATCAAAATAACTTAAGCAAATTGTGATTAATATAATACGCTTTTAGGAAAAATGAAATACTTTAGTTACCAGGATGAAGGATGTATACCTGTAATGTTAATATTTGAAGACAGAGTTTAACTTTTGGACACTGTTTATTTTAGTCATTTGGGGCAGCCATATTTAATTTTTGTTCAAAGAGAATATTTGTTTACTTTTCCAGTTTTATCAACTTGATTACTTATAATAAAGGAACTCTTTATGCATCATGTCTGAGGCTGCTCTTTTCCCAAGTGTCTTCTAACTGTGAATTTGGGGCAAAACTACTATAGAAGGTCACTTTAGACTATTTCTAGTAATAAAGAATGACTAATTTCTACCTATTGTTCAATGAAGAAGAGAAGAGAACCTTCTGGACATAGTCATCAGGATAATTATAATGACAAAAAACTGCTAAAAGCATATTCCAGCAACACCAGGAGAGAAAACACACAACCAAGGTCTTCTTACATTTTGCTTTTCTTTTCTTGTATTGATGTTTGTTAGTTCTGTCCATGAGACAGGTTCTTCTCTAGCACATTTGGCCATGGTTATTCCTCGAGAGTTCTTTAGGGGCTCTCTATCATAGTCCCCTGGCTTGGGACATTGTAAGAATGTTTCTCTCCCTTCCTTCTTAACTCCCAAGGCCTTTTACCCATAGCCTTTAACTCTTGGATCACCACCACTTGGGGTGGAAAGGAACATGAGTTTGCTTGTGGAAGGTGCCTGGACTTACTCACTCGGCTCACCGGTGTGTGTTGTGGGTAGGCTCCAGTCCTGCCACATTGCATGGTGTCACTTCAACTTACAGGAAACTCATGTATTCTTAAACTAAGGGATGAGAATGTAGGCCACTCCTCTCTTGCTTCCCTCTTTTTATCATGCTTCATCCTCCTTGTCTCAGGTAAATGAGGTGCTAAAAGGCTGTGTAGCCTAGCAAATATCAGAAAAGAGATAATCACTATTTCCTAACTTAGTGGAAACAGGATATATGGCACTTGCAGTCTTGTAGAAAAGGGAGTAAAGTTCTTTTTTTTTTTTTTTTAATTTTTTTTTGTTTTATTTATTTATTTCTAGGAGAGAGAAACAGCGTGAGCAGGGGAGGGTCAGAGAGAGAGGGAGGCACAGAATCTGAAACAGGCTCCAGGCTCTGAGCTGGCAGTCAGCACAGAGCCTGACGCGGGGCTCGAACCCACGAACCGCGAGATCATGACCTAAGCGAAAGTCGGACGCTTAACCGACTAAGCCACCCAGGTGCCCCAAAAAGGGAGTAAAGTTCTAATGTCAAATCTTCCTCCTCTGTGTGAACAGGAGAAGGGAGGGATGGGTGCTGCCCCACAGATTCTAACTGTCCGACTCTTACTTATTCCAAGACCTCTTACATCTTTTGGTCCTGAAACTTTCCAAATCGGCTTGGTCTTTCCCAGCGCTGGGAAAGCCTGGGGAAATCTGCTGCCTGAAATGTCATTTTTAATTTTTTTTTTAATGTTTTATTTATTTCTAGGAGAGAGAGAGAGAGAGAGACAGCATGAGCAGGGGAGGGTCAGAGAGAGAGGGAGTCACAGATTGAAACAGGCTCCAGGCTCCGAGCTGGCAGTCATCATAGAGCCCGACGCGGGGCTCGAACCCACGAACCGTGAGATCATGACCTAATCGAAAGTCGGACGCTTAACCGACTAAGCCACCCAGGCGCCCCGTGAAATGTCTTTTTTAAAAAACTTGACTCAAAGAAAGATCAGGGCCACTGATCTCAACAGTTCTGCTATCTCTCACTTCTGCCTGCTTTCTCAGGTCACTCTGAGCATAGTAAAGATCCCAGTCAGCCCCCACACCAACCTGGTACACTTACAAAACCTGCTTAGGAGAATTAATCACGTCTGAGGCAGATAATATGCCAAGAGTTTTATCTTCTGGATATCTCCAGCATCATTTGGTTCCTCACCAAAGTAAAATTTGGGGGGAAGAGGAAAAATAATTTTCCCTCTACTCTTCTAGGTTCTTGGCTGCGACACACATGTAATAAAAAGACAGATTAACAGAAGAAAATCAAATAGAAGTTTAATAACAAGTATACCTCCTGTATGCCTTGGGACACCAAGGAAAACTGAGTAACTCCCCCAAATGGCCCAAGCCATCACTTTAAATAACATCTCCAGCTCAAGACTAGAAGATATTGGGGGATGGAGAGAACAGTTATAAGACCAGTAAGCCAGAGTAAGGTTATTATACAGATTTAAATCCATGCCTTCTCCACTGGTAAAATTCTTGAGATTTAGACTCAGATTTAGTTTCCTTGGTACAGAGAGAGACACCTTTACAAATGGAGATTTTCCTTACAAATGTAAATTGTTCTTACAAAAGAGTAACTTTTACTTAGTTTTTAGAGTTTCTCCTATGTCTGCAGTTTCTTAAAAATAACCCTCTCAAGATAATCCTTATGCTGAAGAAGAATATTTTCGGGTGGTGCGTTTTACTCCCCTACATTTGCATCTTTGAGTTCTGAGTCCCTCCTTTTGCTGTCAAGGGGCATATTGCTGACACAGTTTGTCCCAAATTCATCAGTTGTATATGGCATCGATTTGAACCCAGAGACTTTTTAAAGAAACAGCATGATTCAAGAAGCCAAAAAACAGCAGCACTTGAGAATGTCAGGGCACCAATAACTGATTATTACTTAAGCCACCATTAACAGGGATGGCAGATACATACACTAAGGAGCTTAGCTGCTGCTGGGAGAGCTGGGGTGGTCTGGTTTCCAAGCTCTTTGTGGTGAGGGGAGGGAAGAGTTTTCCTCCACCTTCTTTGGATGGCTGGCTGAGTCAGAAAATTAAGCTGACAAAGACAGGTTAACAGAAGAAAAGGATGAACATTTATTCAATATAAGTTTTACATGACAAGAGAGCTTTTATAAGGAAATACAGACCGAAGAAACAGACCTCCAGCTATTGGGAGGACACTTCTCTGAGGAGGATTTTATGACCAGTTTCAGGGAAGAAGGGCAAAGGAGGGAGATCGGAATGACCTTCCTGCTCCCCCTGTTTTCTCAGACTCCTTCAACTTAAATGTGGCCACAGTGCCACATTTGGGATAGTGTGTCCTCAGTCTCTGGGTTTGAAGCCTCTCTAATGCCATTACCAATGTAACTATTTCAGTGAAGACAAATCTGAGGAAGAAAGTAACACAAATTTATAAAGACTGAAGAAAAGGGGCACCTGGGTGGCTCAGTCGGTTAAGCATTTGGCTTTGGCTCAGGTCATGATCTCACAGTTTCTGAGTTTGAGCCCTGCATCAGGCTCTGTGCTGTCAGCACAGAGCTTCCTTTGGATCCTCTGTACTTCTCTCTCTTCCTCTCCTCCACTCATCCTCTCTCTCTCTCAAAAATAAATAAACATTAAAAAAAAATTGAAGAAAATGAAAAGTGCAAGATTAAAATGTACTCTTTTCTTATTCTGTTAAGTTTTTAAAGTTTATTTCATTCATTTTGAGAGAAAGAGAGAGAGAGAGTGGGAGAGGGGCAGAAAGAGAGAGGGAGAGAGACAGAATTCCAAGCTGGCTCCATGCTGTCACGCAGAGCCTGACATGGGTCTCAGACTTAAGAACCGCGAGATTATGACCTAAGTCAAAATCAAGAGTCAGACACTTAACCAACTGAGCCACCCAGGTGCCTCTTTTCTTACTCTTTTTTTTTAACAAAAAAATTTTTTTTATTTTGAAAGAGAGAGAGAGAAAAGGGGGAAAGGACAGAGAGAGAAGGAGAGAGGGAATCTCAAGCAGGCTCTGTGCTGTCAGCCTGGAGCCCAACTCTGGGCTTGAACTCACAAACCATGAGAGGATGACCTGAGTTGAAATCAAGAGTTGGATGCTTAGCTGACTGAGCCGACCAGGCTCCCCTAAAACCACAAATTTATAATATTAAGATTATTAATATTTTAAATATTTAGAATATTGAAATTAATTATTAATATTGAAATTAAATATTTAAACTATTAAGAACAGGGGGCACTTGGTGGGCTCAGTCAGTAGACCATGTGACTCTTGATCTTAGAGTCATGAGCTCAAGTCCCATGTTGGACATAGAACTTATTTTTTAAAAAACCACAAAAAATTATTTAGAATATCAAGAACAGAACTTTAAAAGTGAAATAGTTAAAAAGCTTTAAAATAAACCGACTATACTTTTATTTCAAGATGGTCATGGAGTGCATTCATTTAACTTCCATTCAGATTACATCAAAATATCAAATATTAAAATAGAAAAAGAAAATGGGAATGCCATTAATTAGCTAGATACTTTGAAGTTATGCAAACTCTGATGACATGGAATTGGATTGAGATATGATTCTAGGGTTCAGTATTCTTTAGGAAAGACAGTGCTTTTCTAGGAATTAAGTCCATGCCCTAGTTTGGGATCTCTGAGTAATATGAATTCCTTTTTTTCATGAGTAATTCCTCTTGATCTGGAAGTGTAAGGCCAATATCAATGCACCCAATACATAATGTGGAGGGAAAGTGGGATGTCAGTAGTTCATAGCATGTATCTTATTCAGCTGGACAGGGAAGATGATGACTCCCAGTCCCGCAGTGTGAATTTGCTGGTCAGTCAATCTTAATGCTCCAGTTTGCTCTCCAGAAGATAGGCCTTATCCTCTCCACAGACTCCTCAAAGGATTCTCCATTAGGGAGGATTCACCCTTTGGGGACTGGACAACTTTAGAGGACCTTCTTTGTTGACATGGGTTCATGGTCAAAGAGTTGAGCGATCACAGGCCTTTTTTTTTTTTTTCTCCCAGAGACTTAATCCTGTATGGCTTTGATATCTGTTAATTTGCTGGGCAGAAGATATGACTTGGGGTCCTCCTGACCACACTTGTTTCTGTTCTGAGCACTACTGCTTTGCTTCTTTTTTTTTAGTGATCTTTTAAAAGTAATCTCTACGCCCAACATATAGAGATCAAGAGTTGTGTGCTCCACCAAATAAGCCAGCCAAGCGCCCCTCTTTCTCATTTTTAAAGGACATACTGGAGCAGTGTTTTTCAACTGTAGGCCATGATCTATTAGTCAGATATGAAATCAATTTAATCAGTTGCCACCAGCAATCTAAAAGGAAAGAACAAAAGAACTGAGCAGGGGCATCAGGCTGGCTCAGTAGTAAAGCATGCACCTCTTGATATTGAAGTCCTGAGTTCAAGCCCCATGTTGGGCTAAGAAAAACAGAACAGAGTAAAAATAT